TGACCTGTTTATTTGTTTGTATGTAGGAAAGTACAGAAATGCTCAGAGATATATGTAGTGACTTTTTAAGTGACTACATACAGCCTTGACATATTTTTATAAATGTGCATGGGCAAGATGCTATATTAGCTAATAGCTCTGTGTAAGTTGGCATGACTGAGGATGTTTTCCCCCTTAAATAATTTTTTTTTTTATTATTATTCTAATTCCTTGCTGGTTTCTTTTTTTTCCAAGTTTAAATATGTTGTGCATTTTTCTTTTCATCTCAGTTGTATTTTTCCTGCCTTTGACTTGGAAGAGTGCTGGAAATGTTGCTGTCCATATAGCAAGCTGCTATCCTGCTCTTTCTATTGTACATGTAGAAAATAAAGTTTGCCATTTTTACAAAAACACTTTATTATGAATGTAATTTTTTTTTTTTTTGCACCGTTTTCATTTTTATAGAATTCACATTCACAATACTTGCGAAACATGGTTGAGCCAAAGCACAAACAAAGACAAGCTTTTCGTTATGCTTCATGTCAGAATTCATATTTGGTGAACTTGCACGCCTGGCAGTGTTACAGGAAACAGTAAAATCATACATGATATTTTAAGTGTTTTTAAGAAATGCATCTTACAAAGGATTTGTCTTATGCACATAAATATGCACATCAAATGTTTTACAATGTCTAAACATTAATAGCAGCTAAACATTATTACTAATTCCACAGAGACTTACACCATCAAATGTATGTGCGATTATATATTGTTACTTGTTCTGTAAAGAAATACAGAAATCTGCCTACAATATACAATACTTAAGTTTAATTAACTGTGTAACTAACATTTAAACAGAATTAGGCCCTTAGGTTCAACCATAAGCCTGACTAATGAAAGAAAAGCGAATGAGAGTTTTCGCCTTGAGTAAACTAAACTCTTTTTTTCAGTAATGAAGCAACATAAAAACAAAACTATAAAAAAGAATCATGACATTTATTATATAGTACTCGTTTAGACTGAGATCTCATTATGTGCCAGAGCTGTCCTTGCTCTTCTTCTCTTCATGATTATCTTGGCAAAGTTCCTTTCCCACAACCACATTTTCAGACTCCACATCTTTGACTCTTAATGGATCCACTGAACTGCCAGACAGAACTTCCATCTCATCTTCGCTGAGCGGCTCCATCCCGGCCTCTTCCTGCCTCACCGTCACTGAATCGATTCCTTCCTCAGTGCTATTCACACCGGCAAGACTTATTTCAGTGTCGTTTGGTTGGTTCTCAACAGAACTCATCAGGCTGCTGCTCGGGATGGCTCTTCTGCTCATGGGTGAGCATGTGTGCCATGTAGCCTCGCAGTGAGAGGTAAATTTTGCAGATGTCACAGTAGAATGGGGTCATCACGTTGTGTCTGTCCATGTGTTTGACGTAGCCATTGACTCTTAGGAAACTTATCGCAGGTCTTACACAAGAGTTTCTCTCCTGCATGAGATGATTTGAGATGCTGAATGAGGGAACCTCTGAACTGATAGCTCTTTTCACAGATGGGGCAGATGCACGTGAGTTTGGATGAGTGATGTTTCATGTGAGCGATGAGAGCAACTTTGTAGCCAAAACGTCTGGGACATAAGTGGCATGTAAACGGCATGGTCGACTCTGCATCCTCGTGAACTTTGGTGAGCTTTCAAAAAAGCCTGATGGGGGAAGCCCTTTCCACACTGTTGGCACACGAACCTCCCTTCTGGATTCTCCTTAGTGTGTATGGCTCGATGCCGCAAAAGGAGACCCATTTTATTAAACATCTCCCCACAAGTAGAACAGATATAAAACATTTCTTTGACTTCAGATTTGGTTTTCTTTTTAGAGTGATTAGCCCGTCGATGCTTCATTAGGGTGTGTCTACTACGGAATCTCTGGCCACAAATTAGACAGTTGATTAACTTTCTGGCATGATTTTCTTTAACCCTGAAAATTACAGCTGAGATGCCATCCTCAGTAACGGTCAGCTCACTCTCTTCATATTTAACACTCTCATCCAGTGAGGAGTTCTGCTCTTGTCCAAATGTCATGTTGGTACTCAGCTCATATTCAAGAGGCTCCTCTTTGACACAAGCAAGTGAAACAGCCTCAGAAATGGCTATTTTACCGGTGTCATCTTCCATGTACTCATCTTCTGCTTCCTGTCAGATAAAACATAATATAGTATAGCATTACATATAATTGTTTATAGATGGACAGGCAGACAGACAGACATATACACATTTAATTTATATTACATAAAATAATTAAATGTAATTGTATATTAAATGTAATTATATATGTATATATAAATTATGTACTTTACATTTATTTACATTACATACATTACATATATTTTGCTTACATTTAATTTACAAGCAAAATATGTAGTGTGTGTGTGTAAAACATCTTTTAATATATTAAATAAATTTTATTTATATATTACATAAAATAAATTTAATTGTGCATTAAATGTAATTATATATTATATACAGGTGCATCTCAATAAATTAGAATGTCGTGGAAAAGTTCATTTATTTCAGTAATTCAACTCAAATTGTGAAACTTGTGTATTAAATAAATTCTATGCACACAGACTGAAGTAGTTTAAGTCTTTGGTTCTTTTAATTGTGATGATTTTGGCTCACATTTCACAAAAACCCACCAATTCACTATCTCAACAAATTAGAATAATTCATAAGACCAATAAAAAAATATTTTTAGTGAATTGTTGGCCTTCTGGAAAGTATGTTCATTTACTGTACATGTACTCAATACTTGGTTGGGCCTCCTTTTGCATGAATTACTGCATCAGTGCGGCGTGGCATGGAGACAATCAGCCTGTGGCACTGCTGAGGTGGTATGGAAGCCCAGGTTGCTTTGATAGCGGCCTTCAGCTCATCTGCATTGTTGGGTCTGGTGTCTCTCATCTTCCTCTTGACAATACCCCATAGATTCTCTATGGGGTTCAGGTCAGGCGAGTTTGCAGACCAATCAAGCACAGTAACACCATGGCAATTGAACCAGCTTTTGGTGCTTTTGGCAGTGTGGGCAGGTGCCAAATCCTGCTGGAAAATGAAATCAGCATCTCCATAAAGCTTGTCAGCAGAAGGAAGCATGAAGTACTCTAAAATATCCTGGTAGATGGCTGCGTTGACTGTGGACTTCAGAAAACACAGTGGACCAAAGTCCTCTTTTCAGATTAAAGTAAATTTTGCATTTCATTTGGAAATCAAGGTCCCAGAGTCTGGAGGAAGAGTGGAGAGGCACAGAAACCATGTTGCTTGAAGTCCAGTGTGAAGTTTCCACAGTCAGTGATGATTTGGGCTGCCATGTCATCTGCTGGTGTTGGTCCACTAGTAAAGATGATGGGGAAAACGCGACCTCTTCATGCCGGGTGTGCGGAAATCATTTCTCTGAGGAGAACTACTTCCAAATGGATCTGGGTTACACCACATGCATGATAGTAAATGTGGATGCTGTTCCTACACTACATACTGAAAGGGAGTAGTGTAGGAACAGCATTCTAAAAAGAGCTTTCAATAAACTTTAACCAAAGACTGCGTCTTTTCGGATCCTCGGGTAACATATAATGAATAATGATGTCCGATCGGTTCGGACAACCACACATTTGTGTAACATAATGTTTACGATGTGATTGGTTTGAGCTTTAATATGGAATTTTTAGACTATATAAACAAGCTGTTGGATTGCTTACAATCCCTTGATCATGATAGATCATTCCACTTTAAGACGTTTTAAATTTAAAGTACGGGAAAAGATCCTGTTTCTTCAGATGTGTCTCACACGTTAATTATGACAATGTCGCCACCTACCGGATAGGAGGACAAGACCTCGTGATTAGTTTTTATATATCATTATCACCTTACCTCGTTTACCTTGTTTTTTAACATTTAATTTATTTTTATCAAGCTCACCTTGCTTTAAAACTGTAATTTTATCCTTGTTTACATTTATACTTTTAGCTTCACAGAATAGAGCTGTACTTTTTACTTTTCTCTTTAAAATGTTTTAGTTCTTCTGACCTGTTTAAGATTTAGTTAATATATCATATTAATCCTATTATAATATCATCATATCATATCGTATCAGATAATAATAAATTAGATTTAGCCCACTCCTCCTGAGCTGATTGCGATTGTGGATAAAGTTTTGCGCTGTTGAACGAGGCAATCTGGGCTTTGCAGTGGGTTGAGGAACACAAACCTGAGAATGTTCTAATTTGTTCTGACTCAGTTTCAGTCTTAAAGAGTTTGAAATCTTTTAAATCATGTCACCAAGATATTCTTTTTAGCATCCTACAAATACATTCAAGAATTGTTCAAAATGATACATCAATCAGTTTTATATGGGTCCCCCAGCACACATAGGAATAAGGGGGAAATGAAGAAGTGGATAAATTAGCAAAGCAAGCTTTACAGAGAGAAACGATAGAGATACAAGTTCCATTAAGCAAATCAGAGAGTAAGGCTTTAATATGGAGTAAAGTGATTAAAGAATGGCAAGTTAAGTGGAACAATGTGGAAAATGGTAGATTCCTTTACAGTTTAATAAACAAAGTCAGTCATAATATAAAGTGTATAGGTAACTCAAGGAAAGAAGAGGTTATCTTTAACAGAATATTGCAGGGCACTCAAATTTAAATAGCACCCTTAAAATAACAGGGAAACATCCAAATGGGTTATGTGAACAATGTCATGTTGAAGAAACAATACCTCATGTATTTCTTGAATGTAGCAAGTATGAACAAGAGAGAAGAAAAATGATAGTAGAAATAAGAAAAAATGGAATTCAGGATCTTAATTTTAAGGTTTTAATAAAATGGGCAAGTGAAATAAATAGTAATGTATTCTTTGATTTTATAAGAGATACACAGGGTTGGTAAATAGAATTTAAAACGCTGTTTCACACTCCGGAGCAGAAGGTGGCGGTAATGCATCTATTTGCATTGGTGCCAGCCGCCGTTAAAAACCAAGAAGAAGAAACAGAAGCGGCAATCTGCGCATGCGTCTTTGTCAGCTTTTCTCGCTAGCGGCGCTGATCTACTCACAACAGCACGCTTGAGAAGCAAAATATTTGACATATTGTTATAATTCCCTAACGTTTCTGAACATTATACGATAGCCGTCGGCGTCGTTTAAAGAATATGCCGAAAAACAAAGGTAAGGGGGTTTCTAAAGACAGTCGTGTGAGATGTTAGCCTTGAATTTAGCAAACAAGGTAACGTGAGCTGTTGAGCTTGATATTGAATGTAGCAGTTTATTGTCAATGTTTGATTTTTAATTTTGGCATTTGAATTCGTTTGTGGTTCTGTATTTGATGCCTTTAAGTTCATAATACGAAATAAAAGTTGCTGTCAGGTAATGAAAAGGATGCGCTCGGCCGCTATGTGTGTTAGGCAGGTAACGTTAACGTTACAGGACCAGTTAAACGGATTTTGATCTTTACCTGCTATAAAATTATTACGTTTAATTATTAAGCATATATTTGTAAAAGGGATCATACATGCTAAAGTTGCCTGACAAATACACATGAAATTAACAATAGTTGAATATGTCTTTCATGTAACTGGTATTCTGCTCAATGTGTGTAACGTTACTTTGCTCAGTCATTAGGCAACATTTCGTTATTGTCATAGGACTCTGTACTGTGTTAATAAGAATGCAGTTTTCCGAATGTATGATCGTATCTGATCGCGTTTTTTTTCTCTGTATCCAGGTAAAGGAGGAAAGAATCGGCGACGTGGTAAGAATGAGAATGAATCTGAGAAAAGAGAGCTGGTGTTTAAAGAGGATGGACAAGGTGTGTTGTAATACTCTTACATATAATGAGCGTTCATGATGTAGGACACTGCCTTCACTTCAAAACATGATCTGCCTTTAGTTGTATCATTTTTCGAAAAAGCTTCTTCTATCTTCTAGAATACGCTCAGGTCATCAAGATGTTGGGAAATGGGAGGTTGGAGGCCATGTGTTTTGATGGAGTCAAGCGGCTTTGTCACATCCGAGGAAAGCTCCGGAAAAAGGTGCACTTTACAGATCCAGTCTGTGAAGCTTCAGACTGAATGCGGATTCAGCATTTCCATCACTTTGTGAATGAGCTTGGCTGTGTGGACTGACAGAAATGTTTAGGCCAATCCAGTCAGTATTGTTTGATAAAACTAACTGATGTAACACATTTTTTGGCGTGGAATTTTTGATATGCTGGAAAACTTCAGCATAGGACAAAATATTATGAATTTTATATTACTCTTTAAAATCCAAAGATGTTTGTCTTATTTGTGGTCTTATGTTTTTTTTTTTATGTAGGTGTGGATTAACACATCAGACATTATTCTCATTGGATTAAGGGACTACCAGGTTTGTTAAATATTTCTTAATTTAATATAATTATACTAATGTAATAAATAATTTAGCTACAATATAATTAAATATGATTTATTTATAGTTATTAGAATAATGGACTACCGAGTTTTTGTTCAATATTTAATTTAATTGTATTATAATTTAATGATAAAATATAATCAAAATATAATTATTTATACTCGCTGGATTAAGGCATCATCAGGTTTGTATATAATAATAATACAATAATGTAGCTCTATATAATACAAATAATCATATTTTGTGGTTTTAATATAACTAATAAAAATGTATAACGTTTTAAATATAAATGTCTTTTGTTAGCCTTGAAAGAAATTAGTTTACAGAATTTAGCCATTTAAAAGCTTTACTCTTAGTTTAAAAATAAGATTGATGCTAAAACTTCAGAGTTCTTTTATCCGAGGGCTTCTTATGGAGTTAATATCTGACATTTTAAATTCTGAAATGTCTTATCAGGATAATAAAGCAGATGTCATTTTGAAGTATAATGCTGATGAGGCTCGGAGTCTGAAAGCCTATGGGGAGCTTCCAGAACACGGTGAGTATATTTAATCTGAGAAACCTTCTAGATGGTTCTTGACGAATGGAGGTTCTTGGCTTGCAATATGCTGATCTTTTTGGTGCACTGTATTAAATGTCATGTCATTAAATTCTTACTGTTGGTGCCTTGCAGCCAAAATCAACGAGACTGATACCTTCGGGCCTGGTGATGACGACGAGATTCAGTTTGATGATATTGGTGATGATGATGAGGACATTGATGATGTAAGTACTAAAGTACTCTTACGTTCATCTGAAGTTTAAGATTAATTCAAAAACTCGACGTTTTGATTTGTTAATTAAAAGGGGGACATGATGTAAGTAGTCAGTGCATCAATCAGTGTTTTGTCCTGACAATACCAAATTCTTTCCCCAGATCTAAGAGGAATACACTGGGAAGTGAATGTTTCTCAACTTGAAGCGACAATATCCTTGCATCCCCCCTAAAGTCACCCCTCCATCATTATGTACACAGAGGCTCAAGTTTTTGGTTTCTCTGACTAAACACATGAATGCATTGTTACCTTCAATCAATTTTGTTATCTTTTAATGTATTTATATTGATTTCACATCAAGTGGAATTTAGTTACAGTACAGAATCTATGGATTCGCAATAAAAAGATAACCAATTTTATGTTTGGTCTTGCAGTCTGTATCCTAATAGACATGTTCAAAAGCTCTGTAAAAGTGAGTGAAACTCTTATGGTAAAAGCTGATACCTCTAAAACGTCTCTGGTCTTTTTGGAATGTTTTTGAAGTCTCTTATGATTTACTGGTCACACAATGATGCATTGTGGGATGTATTTGTTCAGAAAACCTGTCTGGTTAGCTCTTTGTTTTAATCCATCCTAATTTTGTTTTGTGTTCTTGTCTACTTTAAATGATGATAATTGAATACTCATTTTACAGGGCTGCTGAATTTATGAAGGTAATTAATATTGATAGCTCTATGTAGTACTTCACAGTTGTTAGTTACAACATAATAGCTTGATACTAAACTACAGTAAACATCAGCAACAGAAATATTTGTAAGATGAAAATGGAAACGTTTTTTACTTTCTAAAATGATAGCTCACAAAGCAAATAACCAGAATAAGGAAGTATTTTTGTATGCAAATAGGCTACTTAATGCAAGAATTATGAGAATTTATTGACTGTATTCTTGCAGACTGGCCCTTTTGAATGAACATGTTGGTTGTTAGTTATAACCTGTCAATTGTTGGTGTATTGTTTTGATGAGCTTATGATGGTTGCTTTTCGTTCTCTGCTGCTTTTGATTAGAAAACCTGTGATTTTGAAATAAAATTCAACAACATTCAGAATCCTGGAAATCTGTATTTTAAGCTTTTGAAATGTCAGTCATCGTCCTTAATATTTTTTATTACTATACACCAGGTTTCTCCATCTTGTGGGGAAATAATTTTTTACCTCCATTATGAAATGTCCAAAATAATTGTAATGTTTTGTTTTTGTTGCAGATGTTTTGAATTGTGTGGGGTTTTAAAAAATGCAGTATATTTATAGTAAGTGTGTGTCTAGCCATAGGCTTGAGTGATATTAGTCTGAGTTTGTTTCGCCCCATCACGTGTGTTTCAGTGTGAAAACGGAGGTAGTCTATAGCAGTGGTTCCCAACCCTGGTCCTGGAGGCACCCCAACACTGCACATTTTGCATGTCTCCTTTCTTTTACACCAGTTTCAGTTCTTGGAGTCTCTACTAATGAGCTGATGACCTGAATCAGGTGTGTTTGATTAAGGAGACATGCAAAACATGCAGTGTTGGGCGGCCTCCAGGACCAGGGTTGGGAACCACTGATCTATAGCACATATATAGCGTCTACATCAGGGGTGTCCAAACTCGGTCCTGGAGCTAAACTCTTCAGGACACCGGCCCTCCAGGACTGAGTTTGGGCACCCCTGGTCTACATGCTTAGACAGATGTTAACACAGTACAGGATAGTACTGTGGTGTGAAAATAGCCCATATATTCCATAATGTCATATTTGGTTTGTTTAAAATTGTCTGTTAAAAATTCAATCACACTTCTCTAAATGGATGTCTATTCTAGAAGTTTTGAAAGATGATCTGATTGAGCACATTTTGCATGCACATAATCCAGGCAGATATCTGAGCAGTCTTTACCTCTCAATTACAAGACAATGGCCATATTGTTAATTAGATAAATGCCATCCCTTGTTTCCCTTTGTGATCACTGAAGTAGGCTGTGGCTATATATTTCTAGGCACGTTTAATTAAACGTCTCCAGGGGAAATAAATGGGAAATGTCTGCCCTGTGCTCAGCTCCTGAGCTTTCCAAATCTAGCGCAATGTAAACTATGACGTAATGCTTTGCTCTTGGGTGCATTGCTTACGCGCGCGTGCACGCGGCAATTGATCGAGCGTGTTATAATTTATCAGAACCTCGCGGTCTTGTGGCTCTACCTTCAGCCTTCGCCAGTAATATCTGGTCGAAGACTAAGGTGGTGTTCGCATGAATTTGTGAAACTGTTTAGTTTTCCGTCGCGGTTTTTTTTTTCAACTTAAATAGTGATTGATATTTGAATGGGGCGGAATGTCATCTTGATATTGGTCGTTGGAAAACTCCCATAGATAAACTGGAAATGGCCACCATCGTGGAAAACCTGACAGGTACGTAATGTTATGTTATATTTTCATTCTTTAAAAAGAAGCCTCACCCAGATAATGACAGTATTGAGGAACGGATAACTGGGAAAGCGAGCTTCTTGAGCTGTTGTCATGGAAACAGGCTGCTGAGGTGAGAGGAGAATGGGAAACCTAGCTGACTGACCTGTCCAGGTGAAGAGTGCATAACCCTTATGAAACGAAACAGACGTTTTTGCAATGTACAGTATGCAAAAACAATACATTTAATATTATGTTGTTGTTGAATTAAAAAAAACAGATTTTGTCATATAGGGAAAATATACAGAGGCTAGTTGTCACACTGTTTATGCCAGTATTCTTCTCAATTTCTGTTAAATTTCGATTGAAATCGGTTAAATTTCTGTTTATACAGATACCTTACATTTCCTCACTGTTATTAGAAAGAAAGAAAGAAACAGTTCATTAAAAACGCGTTGATCTTTTATGACAACATGCCCCCAGTAGTAGGACAAGTTGTCACATTACATGGGGCAAATTGGTATATGCCATTATGCAGCCTATTATAGGCTTTTCTCGGTTAAATTTAAACCGTAAAACAATCATGAAAAATAAAACAAGAAAATTCAAGAAAAAGTGAAAATATCAAACCACTGTTTTAGCAAGCAAATGAATAAACTGTGTAGCATTTTAAACAGCCCAGAAGTTCTAATTTAAGACAATTTACAAAAATATTTGAAACTAAAGTACAAAATCACTGCCATAGAAAACACATTTAATTGTACTCAAAATCTTATAGTTATGGATGTACATTTGATGTGAAAACTATCCCTGGTTTCCACTGCAAGCTACCTATAGTTTTTGAACAGACAGATCCAAATAAATGTGTTTGATACTGGGTTTATTGATTAGATTCTTATGTTTATTGAAAGATTCTTATAATGATTTAACAATGCACACTGTCTGATAAATGCCTTTTCCTTTAAAAACTAAAGCAAAAATGTGCTTTGTCAAATGTGCTTTAGATTTGAAGCTAACAGGGATCTAACAGACTGTGCTACAGGCTCTGCTGTGAATCACTTCATGAAAAATCATGTTTGTGTTCCCCTGGAGCATTTTGACTTTGCATATATTTGCATACTATTACACAATTAAAGCCAGTGGTTTCCACCAGCTTGTAACTGGACTATAACCATAGACACTGAGGGACTTGAATATATGGTTACATCGTTGGTTTGAGAGAAGATTGCACAGACTCCTAAAGGTGTGTTCACTGTTTATGTGCATCTCAACATTTCGTTTCCTTTCTCATGCAAAGATGGAGGCTCGAAGAAGGACAGAATTCGACTGGCCAAAGATAAAAGAGAGGAGAAAGATAGGTGCAAAGGTGAGCTGCAAGTCTTTTATTCATTTATTACTGTCAACAAGGAAATTATATGTTCCTTTCTAAATTGTCTAAAACATCTTGCCTTGTTAAGAACCAGTGTTTAATTCCTGAATGGATTTCGTGACAATCTTGTGGATAAGTTAAAGCAGAGGTTTATTCCAGGGCAATAGACTACTGCTCCATTCATCACTGAATCCGATTGCTCTTGAGCAGCGGAAGCCTTCCGATAATACCACTAAGTGCTTAGCACAAATGAATCAGTATTGTCAGCAGGTAGGGAGAGGCTTGGCCTTTCCAGTGTCTGGGCAATCTATAGACTTACCCATGTTCGCTCCTATGGGATCAGTTTTCTGCCAAAAGTATTGCAGTCACAGATAAAAAATAAGAAGCGTAAAATATAGGTGAATATAATGGTGACGGGTCGCTAGGATCGCCAGGTAGGCATACAGCAGTGACAGGCAGACACATATAATGGTGTCCTGTATGGATAGATGTTACCCCAGCTGACAGTTGTCCATCTTCACCTGTACAAGTGAACACTGAGCATCGGCAGCTAATGAGGCGCATTGGAGTGTCGTCAACTCTCCACTTTGACTGATTGGCTAGAGGAGGAGCTGTCAGTCTAGAACTAGTGGACCAATAATGACGATTAAGCCCACCCTGATTTACATGAAACTCTAACCGCAACATTTGGAAAAGCAAGGGCGGAGTGAAAAACAGAAAAAGCATACAAAAAATAAAAATATGAGCAGAAAATGTCTGAAGGCCTTTCCACACTGAGCGCGATGCGAAAAAGCGAGGCGAATCGCTGACAAACGTTGCTTTCACAGCGAACGCGAAACGATTGATCACCTTCTGCTAATTCACGCCCGCACGCTAGGTGGCGCCGACCAACAATGCATTTTTCCTCAGATATGTATCTAGTATATGGATTTAACATCGTCCGCTGCTCAATATACAGCATTAAATTAAGATAAACAAAGTTTGGTTCTACACCAGAAACACAAAATATCTATAATGCTTACAAGAATAGGCTACATCCTAAAATATAATTAGAAGTACAATTAGCTCAAGCTACACTTGAAAATGTATGTAATTATTAATGTATTTGCTTACCCACTTTAAACCATCATCAAGTGCTTGGAATAACTTCCGATTGTGATCTGTAGTTGATTTTGATTAATAAGCAGACACATGCACTCTTTGTATGTTTAATAACGCTACACTGCTAATATTTGTCATTAACATCCTTTATTGCTATAAAAATACCATGAGCTGCATACAAAACACATACAGAAAATATATCGTCATAATCATATGTCTATTTGCTTTCATATTTCATGTGTAGAAAAAGAGTGAACGCACACGTGGAAGAAAACGGACGGTGCCCTACAGATCTCATAATTCAGTGGACAATTAATAGAAATGTTATTCTGTATAAAGAACGTGAGAATAAATCTGTTCTCAAATACCAACGATAACAAGAACTCAGCATCCAATCTCTTATCCAGGATACTCTTCTTCGGTGTTTGTAGTGATGGCCGCTTTTGAAACACTGCTTCATGAAGCTTCGAAACATTTGCGAATCAATTGTTTCGAAACAGTGGTTCAGAGCGCGTATCAAAATGCCAAAGTCACGTGATTTCAGTAAACGAGGCTTTGTTACGTCATAACTGTTTCGAACCGTTTCGAAATTTCAATAGTTCACCTTAGGGGGGCGATCTATGTGAACCCGTGAATCATGCGAGTTCACTGAGATCGCCCTGCAGCGGCGAACCACTGCATCAGCGTCTATGGTTATACGATCTTGGATCAGTTTGATCAATTTGTAGACATTTTTAATGAGACATTTGTGCAATTAAAGGGATGAGTAGTAGTTAATAGTCTCTTACTGGCCTGTTTAGACAAGCTCTCCATAAAACAAACAAAACAAGCGCTTGCAAATTAATAATCATTATTTTAAAGACGCATAGGCCTATTATACAGACACTTCATTTTTAATGGTATTTTATTATTTTGATTGCATTTAATATAATTATTAATGTATTTGCTTACCCACTTTAAACCATCATCAAGTGCTTGGAATAACTTCCGATTGTGATCTGTAGTTGATTTTGATTAATAAGCAGACACATGCACTCTTTGTATGTTTAATAACGCTACACTGCTAATATTTGTCATTAACATCCTTTATTGCTATAAAAATACCATGAGCTGCATACAAAACACATACAGAAAATATATCGTCATAATCATATGTCTATTTGCTTTCATATTTCATGTGTAGAAAAAGAGTGAACGCACACGTGGAAGAAAACGGACGGTGCCCTACAGATCTCATAATTCAGTGGACAATTAATAGAAATGTTATTCTGTATAAAGAACGTGAGAATAAATCTGTTCTCAAATACCAACGATAACAAGAACTCAGCATCCAATCTCTTATCCAGGATACTCTTCTTCGGTGTTTGTAGTGATGGCCGCTTTTGAAACACTGCTTCATGAAGCTTCGAAACATTTGCGAATCAATTGTTTCGAAACAGTGGTTCAGAGCGCGTATCAAAATGCCAAAGTCACGTGATTTCAGTAAACGCTGACATAAGTCAAAAGAGCCCACCCCTAAGTCTCTACGATATTCTGGTCTCTAGATACGACTATGGAACCTGTTTTTTTAACCAGGTGAAAATCATAAATGTTCATAAGTCGTAATCATAAATTTGCTTTGAAGCATTATTCATATCCATAGAATGTGTGTGTTAAAATCCCTAACCCTAAGCATGAGTAAAGGGTCATAGACACCAAGGGTGAAAACTATAACGTTTTAATTATCGCTGTAATTCCATATCACAACTATAAAGATAACGACACAAAGGAAATATATGGTTGGAATCACTTTGAAAGTAATTTTTCTAGCAGATGAATGATAAAAATATTGACTGCTAATAAGACTTTACAGAGCTTGAGCATTTAAAGTGGTAGACGACAAAACAGCAGCGCATGCTTAAAATAAACAGAATGATATTGTTTTTTTTTTATTAGAATAGGAGAGTGTAGAGTAGACAGGAAGTGAAGAGGTTGAGAGAAGAGGGCTGGATTTAAACTCAGGACGCCCGTAACGCAATGGCGTTAAATGTCGCCGCACTGCCCACTAGGCTATTGGCGCTGACAACAGAATGATATTGTACGTAGGTGTGCTACTATATACTATAGTTATAGTTATCTTTATAGTAATCATTCTTGGTGTGAACAGTCCTTTCAAGGGCCATTCACACCAAGAACAATCATTTTAATGATATAATTATGAAGTTTTAATAATCATCCTAATTCTATGAAAATAGCGAAGTCCACACCACAACTTTAATGATAACAATACAGAAATGATATTGTCGGAATCACTTTCAGTATGATTTTTTCAAGCTGAGAAATGATGAAAACACTAACAGCCAATCAGAATCAACCTGACTTTAAAGAGCTCTAGCATTTAAAGCAGCAGATGACAAAACTGCAGTGCACTTATAATAAACAAAACGTTAACCTCTGTTGGTGTGCATGCTAATATATTTGTCATTCTTCGTGTGAATGGTCCACACACTGTCCTTTTGACGCAATTTTTGCTATCAGAAGTGTCCGCGTGCAGCCCAATTTTTGTGACCGAGTGGATGATCCGCGTACAACAGTGCAGGCGCTAGGTTAATGTTGAGACAAAACGAGCCAATTAGGTGGTACTGCGCATGTTTGAGCTTGGCCATCCACACTCATCCGCGGTTGAGCATACTTTGACACCTTGCATGTAGTGATGGCCACTTTCGAAGCACTGCTTCGTGAAGCTTCGAAACTTTTGTGAACTATTTGTTTAGAAACAGTGGTTCGGAGCGCGTAACTGCCAAAGTCACGTGATTTCAGTAAACGAGGCTTTGTTACGTCATAACTGTTTCGAACCGTTTCGAAATTTCAATAGTTCACCTTAGGGGGGCGATCTATGTGAACCCGTGAATCATGCGAGTTCACTGAGATCGCCCTGCAGCGGCGAACCACTGCATCAGCGTCTATGGTTATACGATCTTGGATCAGTTTGATCAATTTGTAGACATTTTTAATGAGACATTTGTGCAATTAAAGGGATGAGTAGTAGTTAATAGTCTCTTACTGGCCTGTTTAGACAAGCTCTCCATAAAACAAACAAAACAAGCGCTTGCAAATTAATAATCATTATTTTAAAGACGCATAGGCCTATTATACAGACACTTCATTTTTAATGGTATTTTATTATTTTGATTGCATTTAATATATTATACTTTCAAGAAAGCGTTTTCATTGGGTTTATAAAAGCTGTTTTTATGCATGTTTTGGTCTGAGTTTTTGTTGCGTTTACACAGTTTTGACCAGCAGGCATCACCAGTGTTTCGTTCGAGTGCTTCGAAATGTGAATCATTTTGTGAAGCAATTGGTTCAATTGATTCGAAGCTTCGAAATGGTTCGTTTCTCCCATCACTAGGTGTTTGTTTACACTGGGTTTCGAAACAGCGCCACCACTCTCACCCTTTTGTGCAACAGCAGCTGCTCCAGTCACGTGATCCTAGCTAAAATCTTATTGGACGGCCCGTGTTTTCGCTTTGCGATTCATCGGACTGGTTTGAAAAAAAACATTCACATTTTCGGTGTGCGAATGTTCGCGGTCTATGTGGAAGCATCCATAGAAATCTATTGTTTTATTCCAGCGAGTCATTGCATCAGATATTAGTTTAGCTTTTCGCGCTCAGTGTGGAAAGGCCTTGAGAGCACAAAAAACAGAGAAATACAACCAAGGAAAACATGATTTTGTGTGCAAGTCGGAAAATGTAGCATTAATATTTCAGTTTTGTGCAATATGATTTTAAATGTGCTTAATGTTTTGATTCATGCTTATAATTTTTTTTAAATGCGTTATTAAATTTTTTTGTATACACTTATTATTTTTTGATCTGTGACCATTGTTTGCTATTGTGAAAACTTTGCTTTAATTTTTACATTTTGTGCAATATATTTTTACTTGTGTTTTTAAATTTTGGTTTCACTATTGTTACTTTTTTATCCGTGACTGCAATATTTTTGGTGGAAAATTGATCCCATACACCCCCACCTTGTGTCTAGCTGGGCGGGAGCGAGCTCTCTTGGAGAAGGAACAGCGCGCACAGCAGCAGTATGAACGCTCTCTGGTGGAGCGAGGGAAGCGTCTGGAGGAGCAGCGGCAAAAGGAGATGCTCCGTCGTTCCGCTGTGGAGGAGAAAAGGAGGCAGCGCATAGAGGAGGAAAAGGTCAGGGGTTACAGCCAAACTTCTTTGTGGCGTATCCACACATAGGGCAGGTGTGAAGTTTTTTTTTCTCATATACCTTCTTATCTCTGAATTCTTTTATTTTGGATTTAGGTTGTAATATTATGATCAAATTATATTCTTATTATGCATAGTTTCTTGCTGTTAAATTTTTTTCCAGTTTGCTTAATATTTAAGGTGGTGTGTGTGATTTTTAGCTATTAAAATACTTCAGCATACAGTTTATGGAGTCAAATGCAGCAGATAGGGAAAAATGTAAGTGTAATGACGATTCAGTGACGTTGGGATCCATGTGCAGCTTTATTAACAACCAGACAGGCAAAGTTCAGTCAACAGTATACAGGGGTAACGTAGGCAAGGCAGAATCATAACCAGAGTCCATGCAAAGGGTCGAGGCAGGCGGCAGACAGAGGAGAGAGTAAATCCAAAAACAGAGCAAGGTCAAAGAAGCAAGCAGCGAACGATCAGACAGGTCTAAACAATCCAGGTAGGCAACAGGTAATCAAACAAGGTATTAACGCTCAGAAATGTCAGCAGTAGCAAAAACAAGACTTCGCAACGAGGGTAAGGTAGGCACCGCTTAAATAGTCATGATGATGATAAGCACCTGTGCAGGTAATTGTAAGGGTTTTTATTATTTATTAGCTCTAAAAAGGGGAATATTTATGACGAATTATAACTGGTTATGATTCATAATAAATATTTAGATTATATCTTCGAATTAACTGCAGCAGAATCAATATTACAATTATTTGATCTGTCTGTCCACCGAGCAGATAATATAATCATTCATCAATTCAAGGAATGTTTATTTTTCTGGCCACGCAACAATAAACTGTCCTTCTTTGTCAAGTGCTCGCATTAATTTAGCTAATGTAGCAAGGGTTCACACATTCATTGACTTCAAACTGTGAGCAGCAAACAGAGACAATCCGTTGTGAATATAAGGGATTTAATAAATGAAACTATATCTAACATATAACTAACTAAAACATATATACACAGAATGAAACAAAGTAAGGAAAAGGGAGAGAATAGAAAAGAATGGCAGTATTTCACATCACTTAACCACAACCTTTGAAAATCATAGAGAATCCAAAAATCACCTTAAAAAGGGACTGAAACTTAAACAAGCATCTGAATAATTTTAAGCGGTTACTTGTCCAGAAGCGATTGGTGAGTAGTACAGTGGCGGCGATACCTGGATGACCAGAACTGGGAGTCGAGTGAACCCATTGAATGACTCTTTGACGCAGGGCACGCAGATAGGTAAGTGAGATTAGGTGGGACTCTGGTGGTGATCAGAGGGAGCCACAGAGGCTTGATTTGTGACAGTAAGTAATATGCACTACTGTTGAATTTTTGCTGCTCTGGGTGTGTGTTCACGGTTTGTGTGTGTTCACTGCTGTGTGTGTGCACTTTGGATGGGTAAATGCAGAGCACTAATTCCGAGTATGGGTCACCATACTTGGCCACATGTCACTTCACTTCACTTATTAACATAATACAATTAATACATTTATTCAGCATTAAACTGATCAAAAGTGACAGTAAAGATATTTGTCTTTATAAATTTTACAATTTCTATTCATCATAACCTATTCACCTAAGATGCCTGACTCACAGTTTCATTTTCAAAATGACATTTTAAAATATATTCAAATAGAAAATAATTATTTGAAACTGTAATAATGTTTCAGAAACAATATTCCTGTTTTTACTGCATTTGAGATCGAATATATGCCATCTTGATGAGCATAAGAGACTTCTTTCAAAAACATTTAATATTCTTACCAGCTCTAACTTTTGAATGGTAGTGTATAGACCGCATATTGTTAATATTTCATTATATTATAGTCTATATCTATGCTAAACTTTGGCATGAGTTTGGGGGCGGGACTAGCTTTTCATCCAAACAATGGAAGATCCAGGGAGTATTTGAAAAATCTTATTGGAAACATTTATTATCTTTGCATTTTTGCTGATGCCACAGAAATTACACACATCATCTTTAAACCAAAGCAAAAATTTAATTTTTGAGGTGTAAGAAACCATTCCACTATGTTTCATATGGTAATATGAAAGCCAAAGTCAAGCAACTGACAAAGGTGGAATGCCAATAAACAGATTTTAGCTAAAAAAATATGCAAAAGCACAATACAAGGCTGGCAGTAGCTATTTATATTAGCTCAAGATGTTCAGATTGTGATGTTGACATTTTTACTGGTTAGATTTGATAAATTTATGAATAGTTTTCAGAACCTGTGTGTAATTAAGTATTTATTCACGTTGAATTTAACCTCATAGAGTTCCCACCATTTGTGGCATTGAGTTTTGTCTTAGCAGGAGAGCGAAGTCTTTGTTTATATTGATTGAATACTAGCCACCCCCAGTCAGATGCTGCAATGATTGGTGACTCTCTCTGGAGTGATCAAATGACCTCACTGTTCCCGATATTCATTCTTAACTGATATATACAAATCAAATTACTCTAGAAAAACATGGTGTGTCATAGAGAGGGCGTGTCTGAAGAAGCGAATAGGAAAATACAGTACGGTGTGATTAAGATGCCTACTTACAGAGACTACAGTTAGGCAGTGGATCATTGTGTGCGGGGTGTGGTGCTGTTTCTGTGTTCTGGTATGGAAGTGCTGCCTCTGTTATGTCTAGTCTTACCTCAAATGACTCTGATCTTGGCCAGTGTTTGGATTTAAATTAATTCTGGCTCCTCTATCTGCAGTGGTATCAAATCTGTAGCAGTAGCTTGGCCTCCTTTACGTCCACCTGCAGACAATATGCAGCGTGAGCCACCTAGTTTTGTGTATGCTCAAAGCCATTCATCACCTTTTTTGCAGTCTTCTTCATCAGATTAATCCAATTTAAAAAATAACGAGATGTCAAAGGAGAATGTAAGATGCAAGAGGGGTTTTGCATCACCCTAAAGGGTTTATTTTGTGATTATGACTACATTATTGCTGATTACATGGCTAAATTAAGATGAGTCTGTCATTATTCACCTTCATGTTCACCTGTGTGACGTGGCTGACTTCTTTGGAAAACAAAAGGTGAATTTTTTAAAAATAGCCTGCCTTGTGCTTTTCCTTACAATTAAAGTGAATATGAGCTGGATGTGTTAAGCTACAAAATGACACAGAAGCATTATATAAGTATCATAAATGTTATCACAATGTTTGCACTAACAATGTATCTTTGTGAGGAACAATGTTTTTTGAATTTCAATTGATTCATCACACAAAGCTACCGTACTCCTTCAGAATACTCAGAATATCTCACAAGTCATGTGAACTGCTTTTATGATACTTTTGATGGAGGTTGTTTGTGATTTTAGACCTTGAGAGTTCTAGTCCCCATTCACTTTCATTATATGAAAAAGAGCAACCAGAACGTTCTCTGAAAATTCATCTTTTTAAATCCACGGAAGAAATAATATCATGGGGTTTGGGATGACATGATTGTGAGTAAATGATGACAGAGTGTTCATTTTGGGTGAATTATCTCTTGTGAAAAAGAAGTACACTTTAAAAAAAAAACAGAGCACTTACTACAGAAATAATATACTGTACTTTAAAAAATTATAATTATGTGCAAATTAAATGTAATGTTTTCTGGCACTTAGCTGCATAATTGCAATTAAATGAAAATGTATTGTATTTTAATTTGGTATGAAAGGAATTAGTTGAATTTGCGCTTTTTGACTCACTTACGTAGGACTTAAGTACATCTTTATATGTAATTTAATAATTACTTTTAATGTCTTTGAAATATGGTTAAACTGTACTGCTGAACATTAACAAGCATTTATGGTAAACCAAATTATACTTTAATGTAATTTCTATTGAAACTTGTATTGAATAAAACAATACAGTTTAAAATTATAATCATGTGCTTAACATGTGCTTTGTCATTCAACACATCAAGATAAGTCTAAGATTATTGAAACTGATTAAGTAGTTACTTTTAAATAAAACTTTTATTTTGGCATTATTACTAAGTGCACTTTTTTAAAAGTGTCCTTCATTTTGTTGGGAAACAGTCATTTTTATTTCATTTCTTTAATATCATATTATCTGCATGTACCGTTTTAAAAAAAATATATATACTTTTAAGATTTGTAGTACACTACAAATACAGTTAAGTGCTCTTCTTTTTCACAAGGAATCCCTTTGTAAATGCAGTTTTTTTTATCATAAAAATGTTGAAAAAGGCTACAGAGTGACATGAGATAAACTAGAACAGCTACTGTATGTAGAAAATTGGTGACCAGGGGCGGTCAAACACGAGTTTCACAATTTGAGTTGAATTACTGAAATAAATGAACTTTTCCACGACATTCTAATTTATTGAGATGCATCTGTGTATATATATATATATATATATATATATATATACAAAGATATATAATACAGTGTTGACCAATCAGAATGAAGTACTCAAGAGAGCCATGCTATTTCACTGTTATGATTTTATTGCTTTATTGATTTTATAGTTTTTTCCTGGGGAGCTATTTAATTGTGTATTTTACATGTGTAAACATCTATGCTTTGGAAAGGGTTATGAGTTATGCTAAATCAATTAAAATGTTAAAATAAGAGGGAGAAACAAGGTTATACTGGTTAAAGGAAATGCAGAGAGTGGGGTGGGGTACAGGGTGGGGTACAGAGAAATTCAGGAAAATACATATAGGTTTTCCTATTTTCACTAATGCAACCTGTGTCATTATAATACTCACTCTGTGTGCATGTGCTCACCATTTATCTCAGCCGCTGAGGGGGGAGGATGTGGGTGGAGTTATAGCCGTTCTCTCCTCCATCTGGCTGTACGCTCTCTTAGACACACAGTCACCTGGGAGGAGAGAGCTACAAAGAGAGAGTCACTGAGAGTGAGGGAGAGAGATGCAGTAACAGAAGGCAAGGCCCTCGTCATTTTGCTCACACACATACGAGGAGGAAGAACAGGGAGAGAGGGAGAGTCAGAGACGGATAGGAGAGGTGGTCGCCATGGAGCAGCCAGCCTCATCCCCGTCCACTCATCGGCGTAGCGAAAGCTCGGTCAGAGAGTCTCTTTTCTTTCCTGTTTTGGAACGCAACGAGCAGGAGCGACTGGAGGCCCTGATGCGACGTTCCATGGGGCGGAACCTGCTGGCAGACCAGAGGCCCAAACGCTGGACCTGGGGCGGACCTCCAGGAGTCTGCGAGGGTGAGTGTGTGTGCGCTTGCGAGGGCGTGGAGGGTCCCTTGTGTGTACTACTCTCAGGGCCGTGGGGAGCGGGAATGAATGGAGAGATAGGAAAACAGGGTGTGGGAACTGCACTGCAGCCCTTTTGTTTTAAAACCGAATGGGATATTGACTGATACAGCAGCTGTGGGATGAAAATGCAGCTGTTTTATGAGGGAGCTGCAGTGACACACAGACATCGAGCTGTTGCTGATCTCAAGGAGTCACCTCAGTCGCATAAAAACACTCTGTCTCAAGGTTAGCACTGTCAATGATCGATGACAGACTCGTAGGCTTTGTAAATCATCTGTGCAATAGCTGCCTGGGGCAAGAGGCAATTTGAGCTGTTTTAGCTAGAGAACAAACACACTAAACTGTGCTGTCACTATGACTGCACAGGGTATATTAGACTGCGCAGCCAAAGGCTTTTTGCTCTGTCACTGCTTTGTTCTGACTTTAAATAATGCCTTTTTTCCCTGAACATTTCAATTACACAAGCCTACACTGAAACAGTTTATTGGAGAATGTTTTTCAAGAAAAGGCTATTTCAGTCTTTCTACTTTCAAAGTCTCATGTTCAGTTATATGGGTTACTTGCAGTTTCTTTGATATGGTGAAATTTACTAGTGATTTCTGAATTTAAATTGTTTTTACACAATTTTTTTTTTTCAGTGTATAACTCCTCAGTAGACCTGAGGCTCAGGTAAATCAAATTAAGAAAATAATGCTGCTTTCAAGACAGATGTGAAAGCACCACCCTGAATCTGTGGTGCATTCATACCTACATCAATTATTTACACTGTCCAAGAGCAGAGCCTTAAGCTTGATCCTGAGTCAGTCTAAGAATATATGTAGACGACATGCATGTAGCGTCTGTTTTGCTTTGTGGACAAGGATTGAGAATAAGTTTATGGTCGCCCTTGGAAAACATTAGGCTCTCTGATAACCTGATATCATCGCATCAGCTGCATGCTGTGCTGTGGGTTATTTCATCTTGCAGCATATTACCATGCTGGTTTATTAGCAAAATTACTTTTTTTATACAAAGAAAAATGCTCTGCTGGAAATTATGCAGCTTCCCTTCAGAGGAAAAAACTGCTGACGGCGTATACCAGTATTTCACTGGAACACACTGTTAAGACTTTTCATAATATTCACTGTGATCTTGTGAAATACTCGTTCGTGCTCATGCACCTGTACTTTCTCTGCTTTGCATCACCTGCCGCACAGGTGATCCTAAGATTGCCCCGCCCTCTCCTGCTGCTTCAGCCTCCTTAGCCAATGACCCCGCTGCTCACCCTCCTGCCAGCAAATCCAGGAACGGTACTGACTTCCTGCTGCTTTATGTGTCATCCCCGTTCACTTCCCTTAAGATTCAGTCACAGTGATTCAGATGTTGTGGTTGCATGAGATTTTACATAAGTGTGGTAAGTTATATGTGTCCTAAGATCTACACTAATGTTCAAAAGTTTATGGTCGGTAAGATTTAAAAAAAAGTCTTATGCTCCCCAAGGCTTCATTTATTTGATCATGAATACAGTAAAATCTGTAATATTGTGAAATATGTCACATGATCCTTCAGAAATCATTCTAATATGCTGACCTGGTGATCAAGAGACATTTCTTATTGTTATCAGTGTTGAAAAGAGTTGGGCTGCTTAATATATTTTTGGAAACCATGATACATTTTTTTTAGGATTCTTTGATGAATAAAAAGGTTAAAAGAACAGCATTTATTTGAAATAGAAATCTTTTTATCCTTTACTATCACTTAAAATAAAATAAATCTTACTGACCCCAAACTTTTGAACGGAAGTGTATTGGCCTTATCCATGTTCTTGTTTATTTCAGTGGTGAGTTTTATTTTTAATGGTGCTTGCTAAGGCATCACTAATGTTATTGTTCATATATTAATTTTCCACTTATTTCACATCATTTCTAAGTGAACTGACTTAAAATTTGTGCCTGACAGATGATAAAACAAATCTTTGAATGAGGGACGTGAATGTATCTAGGGACCAGAATCATGAGAACACCCTAGAATCAGTTAGAATCATTTAAAACACCATAGCAACCAAACAGCAATATAGCAAATATTTATTAACTTATAAATAATTGGCATTTATATTGTTTTCTATGATATATTGTATACATTTTTATTGTACTGAAGTCAAATAAAATTATATAAATATCATATGAAAAATATTATTGTAATATAAAAAGACAACCAGGATAGACACATTTTCAAACAAATACGCGGTTATAGTGTTATCCACAGAAAACAAATGGTCTCTCGATTTTTCCACGGACCCCCAAAGACCAATTTTAAATGCTCTGCATTAAAAACCTCTCAGAACATCTTAGCAACTACATAGCAGCACCCTGGAAACCAAACACAACATCAAAAAAATTATGGTATTTGATTTTGCAAAGTCAAGCACCACTCACATTTTCTTCACAAAATGTACAAGTCTAGTTGTAATCATCATTATATTCTTTGGAGTGTATGTTTGTCAGCAACTGTAGCCTGTATTTATGCTGCAGCACCCTGACAACACCCTATTATCAGGTTTTGCATGGGCAAGCACCTCCTTTCTTTTTTTGTTTTTTTGAGTGTCTTTTTCTTTAAGGTGAATGTAAACATTGTATTAATGAGGAAATTGAACTGTCTGGACTTAAAACCAATCATAGGTCCCATAACAGGACATAGAGTTTAGATGCATCAGCTATGGAGTCTGCCATATTGTTCCTCACCTAGTAAGGGATCCGGATGCACAAGAAAGGAAGTGTAATCCGGATCCGCCTACAGCTGCATTGCACCCCTTAAAGAATGCAGAGGGGTTCTCATCTGTCAGCTCATTGTAAATGCAGGCCAGCTTAGCAAACTCCCCTGCAAATCCTACGAGCAACATCACAAATGAGCTACATAAACTCAGAAATCTACCTCATATGAAAATGAGCCTGCTGCTCATGAAAGTCTTTGATCAGTGTAAATATTCATACCTAAATGGCCACTAATTATTAATCAGAAAGAAAGCCTCTGGCATTTACCTTCAAAATTAACTTTTCATCTGTAAGTCTCTGGGGGAATTAACATCATTATGATAAGTGTATGATCGCCTGTGCCTGTGTTTTCTTTCTTCCTGGAACCTTTCGTAATACGTTTCACTACAGTTCAAGATTTTACGATTTCGCCCGAGTCCCCAGACTCTGTCTTGAGCAGGCATCTCTCCTCCTCCTCCTCTACTTTGCCCAATGTGACAGAGAAAGGCAAGTGTTTTTGCATTAACCTTCACTATTTAATTGATTTCAATTTCTGCCCCGCCCCTATTTGCTCCTTTGTCTTCCTGTGACCTCTGGCCCCTCAGTGTCTTGTCTTTGTTCCCGAATAGCCTCCTCCAGCCCTCACAGGTCTCCTTACAGGGCTTCACCCACTAGAGCCGAACGAAAGAAGGTTAGCACATCATTCTACGGACAGCTGGATGACCCCAGAGCAGCCACAACCACGGAAAGCCCTCAGGTCTGATCTGCATAGATGTGATTAACATTTTGTCAGAAAGCTCAGATATTTATATGTGGTGCAAAGCACAATGGGACACAACCCACAGAGGAGCTGGTCTCCTAGCAACTGCATTGCACAGATCTGTACATGTCCAGTTTCAGTCATGGATTTATAGCTGTAGATTTTTGAACCGGGGGTGTGAATGTCCTGCAGGGGGTCTTTTGACAGATATGTGATACATATATATATTATATTTTTATTTGTATACTTCAGAATGTATTTCCTAATGTTTTTGCTTGTAGTGTCTTGCCTTAAAGGGATATTTCACCCAAAAATGGAAGTTCTGTCATCATTTACTCACCCTCATGTCATTCCAAACCTGTATGACTTTTTCATTCTTCTGTGGAACACAAAACGACATGTTCATGAGGTCAGTAGCGAAGTCTGATTAATGTATGAATCATTCAGACTAGTTTGGTGAACCTGAGCGACTTATTCATTCATGACTCAAAAGAACAACTCGTTCACTAATTGGCCATTTTCATTGTTCAAAGAAACTCATACAGGTTTGAACCAAAATGAGAGTGAGTAAGTGAGGACGGATTATTAATTTTTGGGGTAAACTATCCCTTTAACCATCACATATTTGTTGTCTTTTCTGTTTTAGACACTATTGAAGCATGGGGCTGGACTGAACTGATGGAGTTGGAGTTGAGCTGAAAGATAAGACCAGCCCTTTGTGCCTCAGCAACTTCCTGAATATCCTCTCAACAGAAGAACAAGGACTGAATGTCAAACCATGTGTTAACAGCAAAGAAGGGACAACCTGACAGCTGATTCCCCCACACATAAAATAAAGTTTTGCCTGATCCTCATAGATATTATATTTCACACCATTTCAGCTTAGTATCAACAAACAAAGCAACTGTATTAGCGCAGTCCTAGTGGTCTTCTTCTTCTTGTTATACACCTGTAGCACTGATAAGTGATGCACCGTAACAATTGTAGCAGCTCCATTGTGTAATTTGTTTTATTTTGGGTGGCATAAATGACCAGCAAACCGAGCAATTATGTGCTGAGTCTGCTAATTGTGCTGTATTGTATGGCTGGCGTTTGCAAACTGTATATTGTGTAAATCCATGACTTCTCCGCATTGTCTCAGCAATCCAAGCTTTGTAGTCTGAAAGTGGGTATGAATAGATGTAAAGTGTGATATTATTCCACCATAACGCTGTTATTCTGGCATTAATGTGTTATTAGTCAACAGCAGTTAGACGATATGGGTACCTATACAGAAAAAAAGTGTACTTCTAATATAATTTATTGTGTAAAAGTTTAAAAAGGGAATTAAAAGTGCACAATTTCATTGTGTTGAATAGCATAGTGCTTTTAATTCTTCATGGACTTTTTCTGTATTGTTTTGTTATATGACATCATTGCACACAGCTCTATGCAGATCAAGAAAACCAAGCAACCATAAAGAACAACACAAATCAAGGTAATTCAGCATTCTTACAACTGTACAGTAGTGACTCAAAAGATCTGTACTTCCTGAGTATGTTGCTTAAAATACTCTGTTTACCATCTTGTATACTCAGGGTGTTAGTGAGCTTTGCATGTGAGCTCAGTTCTTTTGCTGTTTGGTGGTGATATCATGATGCTGTTGTGGAAAACTTCAGATGCACTGGATTGCTTCAGGACCAATAAACAAATTTCTTGAAAGATGTAAGTTTCTATCTATTGATCTATCTAGCATCACAAAAACTTGGGATGTTGATTACGTTTTTGATTATACGGAGAATGATGGGTTAATACTGAAATTCAGCACTTCAAAAGACATTTGAGAAAAGGTGCATGAATCACTTTGAAGTTGCTGAACCATGAGATATTGACATAAAAAATAAAACATCACACCTTGATCTTTCCTTATTTACAAATATGTGGTGCAAAGCACAATGGGACACAACCCACAGAGGAGCTGGTCTCCTAGCAACTGCATTGCACAGATCTGTACATGTCCAGTTTCAGTCATGGATTTATAGCTGTAGATTTTTGAACCGGGGGTGTGAATGTCCTGCAGGGGGTCTTTTGACAGATATGTGATACATATATATATTATATTTTTATTTGTATATTCAGAATGTATTTCTAAAATGTGTACATTTAAATATCTTAAACATTCTAGAAGGTAAAATGTTGATATTGATGAAAATTCAATCTTAACATTGTGTGAAGGGATAATTCAATCAAAAAATTAAAATCCTGTCATGATTTACCATCCTTCATCTTATTCCAAACCTGTATGACTTTCTTTGTTCTGTGAAACAAAAAAACTATTGATAGATATCAAAATATCCTCTTTTTTAGAAGAAAGTCAAAAGACATGAGCAAATCAGGGTTATTATAGTTTAAAAATGTAATCTTAAACCATTTAAAAAATGTTGTTACATGAAAAAAACTAAATATTAACTGAAATACAATGCAACATGCAAAAATTTACATTTATTTAATTTTAATTTTAATTAAATTAAATTAATAAAAACTATACAGACATATCTAAAACAAAAAAAACAATAACAATTACAAAAATGACTAAAACACTAACTAAAATTAACTTGAAAGCAGAAAATACAAAAATAAAATCTAATTCAAAATAACAAAAACTATAATAGTATCGCAGTGATACTAAAATAACACTGGAGCAAATTAATAAATGAATAGAGAATTAAAATTTTGGGATATACTATAACTTAATGCATTAGTTTTCATGAATGAACAATACTTCTGCTGCATTTATTAAAGTTAATTTACATATACATATCCTAATGCATAAAATGTAAAGTTATTTCAAGTATAAATTAGCTAATGTATTATGAACACACAGGATTCAACCATGAACAATAAATATAAATTAACATTAACATAGATTAATAAATGCTGCAAATTGTTGTTAATAGACAGAACACCAAATTTTATGAAATTGATTCTTATTGTAAAGTGTTACTGAAAAAACTATTTTTTATATTAAATTTTTTTTTATGTTTGGCTGAGAGACTATTGTTCAGGTTTTTGTAGCTTTGTGGCTTTGTTAGAACAGTGAATTGGACAAATACATAATTCTGCTGTCTGTTTTGGGTGTTTAGACTGAGAAACCCGAAAAGAGCATCGCCCAAACCTTATCTGACTCATCTATGAAAAAGCTTGAGTCTCCAACAACACCCACTCAAAGTTCTTTTACCCACAAGAACCCCAGCACACCGAAAAGGTTTTGTATTTTATCAAATTTTTTACATGTTGTCATTATTTATTTAAAGACTATTTAAAGACTTTAGTTTACTTTGTTTTTTGTTTTTTTCATTTGCAATTAGATCAAAGTCCTGTAAGAGCCACATTCTGTCCCCAGCCACGGGTCAATATCCCACTTCCCCGATGAGACACAGAGCCACAACGCCATGTTTAGAGAACAAGAGGTGGGAAGGAGAGGAGAAAGGGTCCATGGAGAGTAAAGGCTACAGCACTCTAGAGAGAAAGACCTCCAGAACAGAGAAAATCACAAAATCTACAAGCAAGGAATTTGGACATAATGCAGGTGTTGTCTTTTTAAAGGAGTAGTTAATTTAGTCCAAAAAAATTATATTCTGTCTAGTTTTATTTTAGTTTTATTTATATACTATTATAGCATTTATTATTATTTTGAACTTGCTTTTATTTTTATATTTTCAGGTTTAATTTTAGGTCAAGTTTAATAATTTTGTCATTTTTATTAGTTTTAGATTTTATTTAATATTTAAATCGTTTTTTTATTTTTATATATTATATATTTATTTATATTATATATGTTTACTTTTATTTGAGTAATTTTAGTACTTCAACTTAATCTTATATTTTTTCATTTGTCAAGGCAACATTTCTAATTTTCATTTTGTAAGTGTAAGTTTTCACATTTTTATTTATTTTATTTTATTTCAGTTATACAGTTTTAATAGTTTTAGTTTAATTTCAGTTAACAATAACAATACTCATTCTTTCATCATTTAAAATGACTGACTTTTTTCTGATTTAAAAGCTGTGCCAATGGGATCTCATCTCAATCATGTGACGTGGACTAAGTGCCTCCTGTCTTGTGTTTCAGAGTCTCCAGTAACTCCCACTGGGAAGGCAGGTACCACTGATGCCGAGGAGGCCTCCAGGCTGCTGACGGAGAGACGGCGCCTGGCCAGAGTACAGAAGGAGCAGGAAGAAAAGCAACGGTTAGAAGAGGAAAGGTAGAGATATTGTGTCTCTAGGGTCTGTGTGTCACATTTATGTGTTTGCTGCCATATTATATATCATCTTCTCCATGAATCTCAGGCTCAGGGCTGAGGAGCTCCAGAGGCAGCAGGAAGAGGAGAGACAGCGGCAGGAACAGGCAGCTCGAGAGGCAGAGGAGAAAAGACAGAGGCAGGAGGAGGAGGTCTGTCAAAGAGAGCTGGAGGACAGGCACCAAAAGGAACAACGTTGGAAGGAGCTCCAGGATGAAGTGGTCAGACAGGTCAGAGGGATATTATATTACATTACATTAAAAACAATTAATTATATTAATTGTTAAAACAGTGGGAACTAAAAGTCTGAGACTGCTGAAAATTTTATAGACTTTTATTTAATACATTTTCATTAGAAATGTAATTTATATTATATTAGATTAGATTAGATTTTGAAAAAAATAAAATACAAATAAAAAAGAACTATTACATTTCAGCAGTGGTCTCAGATGTCTGGACCTCACTGTTTAAACAAACCAAAAAAATCTAAATAATCATTACATAAATACAAAAAAGACAGTGAAACGGCAGTGATAAAACTGACTCATCAAGACAAACATACTCATCCATCCAGACACGTGCAGCACCAATCTGTCTTCTGTAGCTGTGAATATCTGTAGGGATGAATGTGATATAGTTGGAGATGTGATGTGTCATGATGTTTGGCAGAGGGAGGAAGCAGTGCAGCGCGTTCATAGAGAGGCTGAACGGAAGAGACAGGAGCGAGAGCTTCTGAAAATTCAAGAGGAGCAGGAGAGACTTCAAAGGAAGAAGGTTCTTCTTTTCTCTCTGTTTACGTATAGAAGCAAGCAATACATGGAAATGTATTAATATTGACACTATTAAAATGATTGTGCAATGTTAAGTGCATTATAAGGAAAGTAGTTTAGTAATTGTAAAGGCGTGATCTCTAAGGTCTACTTTTCTATGCACAGATTTATTACTTAATTAAAACTTAATTCAAACATTGAAGAGTGTGCGGAGTCAACAAGAAACTGTTTGCAACATATTTGAGTTTTCAATATTCAAGATGTATTTAAATAGAAACAAAGTGTGATTCTATCCATTTATCCAGGAATTGATTGGGTATTTTACACACCATCTGGTTTTTGGGAGGGGTTGAAAAAAAAGAATCAAAACATAAAATCAGAAAAGACTTTATTTGTCACTTTGTCTGATACTAAGAAAAAAAAGAAACTTGTTTTCAGGTCATGTTTTAATTAAAGTTTATGATGTTAATGATGTATGATGTTTGCATGTGATTTTGGCAGCGTATTGAGGAGATTATGAAAAGAACAAGAAAACCTGATGGAGAAAAGGTAAATAAATTATCAGATGACAAAGATTTACTAATTGCAGCAAATAATATTGCTTGTCATGTTTTTGAATAGAAAGAAGAGGTGCAGATGGAAGTCCCATCCCCCATATCTGTTTCCCAGTCCATCTCACCGTCTCCCTTGGAAACTGAAGGTACTGATATGACCCGTATCACTATACAGTTCTACAGTGGGCATGTAGTAACATTTAACCCTCCCTTTCACTGTGTAAATTCACTTAAACACATGCAGGCTGTTTATTATTAGTCTCTTGCTGAGTGACTCAGCATGTGGAAAATCTATTTGGTCTATACTGTAGAAAAAAAACGAAAGAGCGCCATCAAGTGGTGTAATTAAGAACTGAAATTCGTTTTTTCTGTCTCTTCCACAAAAATAGAATGTTGATAATCCGGTAAAATATTAAATATTTTTATTTAAATTTTAAATTTGTATATAAAAATATATATATATATTTTTGGATTAAACTACATTAATCTTGCGCAACAGGTAACACAGCGATTATCAGTCCACCAAAGGCAACATCTGAGTCTCCAATCATATGCCTTGTGCCACTGGAGACAAAGAGCTGTGGGGCAGATGATCTCTCGGATGGTGTCCAGTCCATGGATGTCAGGTTAGCCTCCAACAAAATCATGCCACGTTATTTCAGAAAAAGTAGGTCTGATTATAGCATGCTAACGACATTGATAAAATATTGTCAGTCCCTGTAATAAACTAAAATATTTGTCATTGCAGCCCAGTGTCCAGAGACGAGCTTGTTCCAGAATATTCCCCCGTCAGTGAGATCTCACACAACAGCATGACTTCTGTGGCTTTGGGCGATATCCATGTTCTGACCGGGCAGGTCTCGCATCCCAAAATGTCTGCTGCTCCAGCTTTTGGTGACTGCAACAAGAATCTGATCCAGGATTGCAGTAGCACTGCTATTGACTCATCACTTTTCCAGCATCTTAGACCCACCTCAGACAAGCTCAACATCTAATGCAAAGGTGATTGCTAAGTCAAATGTTTGTACTTAGAGGATTTTGGACTTCTTTTTATCCTTCCATGAATCAGATAATTCTGATAACAGCCAGAATTTCTGCCATATTTGTAGGAAAAATGTTTTATAAAATCAGGCAATTGATATATGAACAACCCCCTCTGTAAAAACCTTCAGAATACATGTAATGAAAAGCCAAATGGCCCAAAATCTCAAAACTGACCTAATGTTTTTGCTTGTAGTGTCTTGCCTTAAAGGGATATTTCACCCAAAAATGGAAGTTCTGTCATCATTTACTCACCCTCATGTCATTGCAGCCCAGTGTCCAGAGACGAGCTTGTTCCAGAATATTCCCCCGTCAGTGAGATCTCACACAACAGCATGACTTCTGTGGCTTTGGGCGATATCCATGTTCTGACCGGGCAGGTCTCGCATCCCAAAATGACTGCTGCTCCAGCTTTTGGTGACTGCAACAAGAATCTGATCCAGGATTGCAGTAGCGCTGCTATTGACTCATCACTTTTCCAGCGTCTTAGACCCACCTCAGACAAGCTCAACATCTAATGCAAAGGTGATTGCTAAGTCAAATGTTTGTACTGAGAGGATTTTGGACTTCTTTTTATCCTTCCATGAATCAGATAATTCTGATAACAGCCAGAATTTCTGCCATATTTGTAGGAATAAAATGTTTTATAAAATCAGGCAATTGATATATGAACAACCCCCTCTGTAAAAACCTTCAGAATACATGTAATGAAAAGCCAAATGGCCCAAAATCTCAAAACTGACCTAATGTTTTTGTTTTCTTGCCTTAAAGGGATATATTAAGAAGCTGTTCCATTTTACAAAGATAAGCTGATTGGGTGGAATCATGTGTGTGTGTGCCTACTTAACCATATTTTGGGGACAAATGTGTACCCAAAAGTGAGGAAAACCTGACAAAATCGCCAAAAAAACTCCATTTGGGGACGTCCTCATTTGTAAAATTGGTATAAAAATAAAGTAAACAAAAGTTTTTTGCAATTGTAAAAATGCAGAAAGTTTTCTGTGAGGGTTAGGGATGGGATTAGGTTAAAAAGTGTATAACTATGTGTATATAAAACAGTAGAAGTTGTAATGTCCCCATTTAGATAGCTAAGTAAATGTGTGTGTGTGTGTGTGTGTGTGCGCGCGTTTCTGTGACAAATGAGGACATACATTTGTATAATGACAAAGGTATTACATAGGTATTACAAGGAGAAGGTGACTTTTCAGGACATTACCCCATGTCCCCACTTTTCAAAACGCTTATAAATCACACATAATGGAGTGTATTGAAAATCTGAAATAGCAGAAAGTTTCATGTGAGGGGTAGGTTTAGGGGTAGAGTTGGTGTAGGGCAATAGAATATACGGTCTGTACAGTATAAAAGCCATTACGCCTATGGGATGTCCCCCCTTTTCACAAAAACAAACCTGTGTGTGTGTGTCTGTGTGTGTGTGTGTGTGTGTGTGTGTGTGAACATAAATATATAAATGGGATATATGGATAGATTAAAAGTTTGTTTACCAAAAGTGGGACATGTTGTCACAGTGGTATTGTAAAACAATGGTTTGATATTTTGTGCATTGCCTTTTACATTTTCTGTTTCATGAATCGTTTTGTTTCGCGATAGATAGATAGATAGATAGATAGATAGATAGATAGATAGATAGATAGATAGATAGATAGATAGAGCATAAAATTAAACACGTTAACATTTAAAAAACGTGCCAACTTGTAAAACCAATTACAATTATATAATGATATTAGAAATATTTGATTAGGGGGATATTTCTGTAAAAGTAAAAAAAATATGTTTTAAAACGTGGGTGGCAATCTACAGAGGTGTCTGTAGGGGTCAGTGTCGCTCACATTCGCTCATTGTGAGGTGCTGATGAAAACGACGCAGTGTTGCCAGATTGGAACAACAGCATGACTTCTGTGGCTTTGGGCGATATCCATGTTCTGACCGGGCAGGTCTCGCATCCCAAAATGTCTGCTGCTCCAGCTTTTGGTGACTGCAACAAGAATCTGATCCAGGATTGCAGTAGCACTGCTATTGACTCATCACTTTTCCAGCATCTTAGACCCACCTCAGACAAGCTCAACATCTAATGCAAAGGTGATTGCTAAGTCAAATGTTTGTACTTAGAGGATTTTGGACTTCTTTTTATCCTTCCATGAATCAGATAATTCTGATAACAGCCAGAATTTCTGCCATATTTGTAGGAAAAATGTTTTATAAAATCAGGCAATTGATATATGAACAACCCCCTCTGTAAAAACCTTCAGAATACATGTAATGAAAAGCCAAATGGCCCAAAATCTCAAAACTGACCTAATGTTTTTGCTTGTAGTGTCTTGCCTTAAAGGGATATTAAAAAAAAAACATTATTATATTGAGACATACAGCACATGCAGCAATGTGTGTGTGTGTACCTACTTAACCATATTTTGGGGACAAATGTGTACCCAAAAGTGAGGAAAACCTGACAAAATCGCCAAAAAAACTCCATTTGGGGACGTCCTCATTTGTAAAATTGGTATAAAAATAAAGTAAACAAAAGTTTTTTGCAATTGTAAAAATGCAGAAAGTTTTCTGTGAGGGTTAGGGATGGGATTAGGTTAAAAAGTGTATAACTATGTGTATATAAAACAGTAGAAGTTGTAATGTCCCCATTTAGATAGCTAAGTAAATGTGTGTGTGTGTGTGTGTGTGTGCGCGCGTTTCTGTGACAAATGAGGACATACATTTGTATAATGACAAAGGTATTACATAGGTATTACAAGGAGAAGGTGACTTTTCAGGACATTACCCCATGTCCCCACTTTTCAAAACGCTTATAAATCACACATAATGGAGTGTATTGAAAATCTGAAATAGCAGAAAGTTTCATGTGAGGGGTAGGTTTAGGGGTAGAGTTGGTGTAGGGCAATAGAATATACGGTCTGTACAGTATAAAAACCATTACGCCTATGGGATGTCCCCACTTTTCACAAAAACAAACCTGTGTGTGTGTGTGTGTGTGTGTGTGTGAACATAAATATATAAATGGGATATATGGATAGATTAAAAGTTTGTTTACCAAAAGTGGGACATGTTGTCACAGTGGTATTGTAAAACAATGGTTTGATATTTTGTGCATTGCCTTTTACATTTTCTGTTTCATGAATCGTTTTGTTTCGCGATAGATAGATAGATAGATAGATAGATAGATAGATAGATAGATAGATAGATAGATAGATAGATAGAGCATAAAATTAAACACGTTAACATTTAAAAAACGTGCCAACTTGTAAAACCAATTACAATTATATAATGATATTAGAAATATTTGATTAGGGGGATATTTCTGTAAAAGTAAAAAAAATATGTTTTAAAACGTGGGTGGCAATCTACAGAGGTGTCTGTAGGGGTCAGTGTCGCTCACATTCGCTCATTGTGAGGTGCTGATGAAAACGACGCAGTGTTGCCAGATTGGACGGGTTTTGAATTTGATTGTGCGGGTAAAAATTGGCTTGGCCGGGTGGACAAAATTTGGGCTGGTTTGGGGTCAGTTTGGCGGTTTTCAAACATATAAATTGCATAGGCTAATTGTTTAAAAAAACAAGCCCACATATGCATGTACTCTGCATCCAATCAGTCATCACAGCGTACTACACACACACACACACACACACACTGCAGAGGCGCTGGTGCTGAATGTAAACGTCGACAGCCGCGCTTATCACGAGGGCTCAGCAGATGTAGTACTCCTGTAAAGGATGATATGAAATGAAAAAGCGTGCAAGCGATGCTTCTTCTCTTCATTGATGCTTTACCATGAATGAAGCTATCGCGGAACTCCCTCTACAAATGCACGCAATGGCGCGCACATTTTCGTTCAACCAATCACACACATCCATCTCCATGCTATGATAATATAACATATTAATTTGAAGCAATAACTCTTATGTTAAATCCCCAAATAGTTGTAACATATATTTTGATTAACACAGTAATTATAATAATTATGGAAATCGAATATAAATCTAAATAATCCCTTAAAGGAGAAACACATGTAAATAAGAGAAATACATAAGAAAATGGATAGTGATAATTATGAAACATCACAAGAAATATATACATATAGGAAGAATAAACTGATAATAATTATAATTATGAGAATGATTCAGTATACCACACAGACAGACGTTGATTCGTGAGTGACAGGTTTTTAGCGTGATAAGTTATAACGTATCTGATTTTGAATGTAGTATGACTGTATATTCAAGTTAATCACAATGCCTAAATATAAGTTAAAGAGTGGGAGAGTGAGATGACACGAAGGCTCCATCACTGCAACTCCGAAATCAGAGCACATTTGAATTACTTAATCAAAACCGAAACTAAATATGTCGGTTTATACGGTCCTGTCTTTTATCTTATAAATGGTCCAGATTGATAAATCCTTGAAAACTGCTAGACTTGATTAGTTTTGACTGTGCAGAGCTCTGTATTATGTTCTACAATATGAACTTAACAAGAGGCTTCCTCTAGTTCTGTGTAAAATTATAGAGCGACACGAAGGTAAGCGCATTATTGTTGTTGTTGTTTTTTAAATTGTATTATAATTCAGTAGGCCTATGTATCAATGAATGACAGTTTTGACTGTCGTGGTGTGTGCATGAACGAGTGTGAAATACCTGCTAATTACGTTGCTTTTTCCAATCACTTATATTGGGCACTTTTTGCATTTAAATTGGATTATTCTTACTGCTGACATTGAAAATGATGCATTTCTTGATTGCCGTTTTGACAGTGTTTGCTTGCATATTTTATTCATGTTCGGTAGCCTAATTCTCTTTAATGTAGGCTATTTGCCCCGATTCGATACGTTATATTTATATTATTTTGTCATTATTATTTTGTTTTAAATAGTTAAAATGGCCCTTATCAACCTTGATTGACATATTCCATCACATTATTTTGACAATTAA